GGCATATAAAAATTCGTGAGTGTACAAGATTGAGTATATGGCTTCAATTGTCAAAAAATTCAATAATAAATTGAAACATTTTACACATCAATTTGTTATTTGAAACCATCGATTTGTGAAATTGTTATAAAAAATGAAATGGTATCAACACAATCTTATATATTTTTTGTGTTGTGGACAAATCAAAATATATTAGAACTTTGATTGTATCTATGTTAACGTTAAAAAATTCAAAAATAACCAATGTTGCAAAATTGGACTAAATCGGCTAGTTCAACCGGGAAAACACAAACTAGATTAAAATCCGTCCGGTTACAGTGTAAAAATCGGTAACCGGTTACAGTTTTTGTGGATTGTCAATTAAATTCTTAAAAAAAAAAACTAATAGTAAGATGATGAACACAGCCACTACCCTTTTCCTATCAACCAAAACTACAGTAGCTCCAATAAATAAAAAATTTAATTACAAAGAAAGAATATAAGTTCCCTTATATTTATGCTCATACTTTGGATGATGTCTTTGTGTTTGTGTGTGTAAATATATTTTGTATACGTGAGAGAGATCAGAAATCTAAGAAAAAAATGCCTCGGCTAGAATTTTAATAGCCATCAAAATTTTGATATGGAACAATGAGGGAAGTGTTCAAATAATAGGGTTTGCCTTCATGGGCCATGTATCTATAACCATATCTTGGGCCTTTTCGCCCATTTAATTTACACGTTACTTTTTATTTGTTGAATTATTTTTTTTTGGGTAAATTTATTTATTTTGACTTTTTTTTAAAATCACCGATTTGACCCCAATTCGACCCTTTGTACCTTGACCCTCCATCTTATCGATGTCTAAGTCAATTTTTAAAATGTTGGAAATAACATGCAAAATCTAGTTTCCCTTTTAAGTCCAACAATTTAGTACCAACAATTAAGAAATATTTTTGACTGATGGTAATATTTTATAATTCGTCATTAAATTAATACTAAAAAAATTGTAAACCCATACACTAAAATCACACCTTTTAGTCGTCCATTCTATGGTTACTTTAAATATATATGTTGTGCCTTAGTATTGTGTAGCGCAATAATTAGCTTACATATAAAAGTTGGTAGAATTTATATAGTGATATGTTAAATAAAAAAAATATATACATTATGAAATTTCTGAAAGATCAACAAGGGTACGAATGCTTCAATTAATCATATGAACTTCACTTTGATTGATTGAGGAGTTTTATGTCAAAGGTAATGACAAATTATTTATAATGTTCAGTAGCGAAGCAATTGTCCACTCAATTGATTTCTCATAATTTCAAAATACAAATTATCCATACAAAAATAACCGTTAGAATGGAAAACGAGTTCTCCTTTCGCGCATCCTACTAACTCCATCAAACGATGAAAGATATTCATTTAAATTCAAATTCAAGTTCAAGAAGAAACAATTTCCAATTCTCCTATACTTTACAATAACCATCAACAAGGCTCAATGACAAACCTTACCTACTGATGAGCCGAAATGCGTGGGAATTTATATATATATAATGGAAAGCTTGACTCAACGAGAAACACCATAGTGGGTGCTCTCTCCGGGATGCTTTTTAAAAGCTATGTGAACGAGGTCGATCGATTTCTTGACCAGAAAGAGCAGAGACAGGTGCATTTTTCTTACGATGAACAACTATATGTCATACTTTCTCATGAAGTTTCAATGCAAACAATAAAACTCTTGATAAAATCAGAAAATAAAAAGAAGAAAGCTATGGGACGTTGGCAAAAAATATTGTGTATACAAAGTATTATTGTAATCAAAACATTATATTTCAATTTATCCAACATTTCCACATTGTATTATATCATAAAAAAAAAACTTGTATTCATATATATTGTTTAATAATTTTAATTTTTTATTTAAAAAAATAACGAATATCATTCATCAGATATATAAGACGTGCAACGCACGTAATTACTACTAGTATAAAAAGTTATTAAAAAATCAACAAAAAATTTCATATTTGCATCATTACGAAAAATATATTTCACAATTTACTATGTTACATTATTGAAACCAAAAATACTAGATGACAAATGAAATATATTTACATAACTTTCTTCTAAGAGTAGACCATTCATCACATTTTGTAACTGATCCATTTTTAATTCAACCTATTTCACGGTCCCCATTAATCATATTTCCTAAGGGTCCGTTTGATTGCAAGAGTAGAAAGAAAATGAATTACAGGGAAAGTAATTGTCTAGAAATTATTTTTCGGGAAATTGTTAATTAAGTGTATTTGATTGATATAATTTTTCACCCTAGAAAATTTTTAAATTTTGTGTTCGTTTGACTTCATTTTATATAGAAATTGTCCATTAAAATGATAATTTTTTCCACAATTGGTCATAAAATTTGTTTCTATTGCCAACAAGTAAAAAAAAAATTGTTTCCTGAAAAATCTTTTTTTTATCAAAATTTAGTANAAAAAAAAATATTTCCTGGAAAATCATTTTTTCATCAAAGTTTAGTGTTCGTTTGACCTTTGTCTGCATCAAAATTGTCTATGAAAGTGAAATTTTTTTTTACACTTGGTTATGAAATTTGTTTTCATTGTCAAAAAAAAAAAAAAGAGGCTGGAAACCAAATTTTCACCAAAAAGGTGAGAATTGGTTTTCACCAAAATCCAAGAAAATATGGCGCGTGAAGGAAAACCAAGAAAAATGATTCCCTAAAAAATTTGTTGCATCAAACAAGTAAAAATGTGGAAGATGGAAATTGATTTCCATGTTCCATGGAAAATAATCCTAATCAAACTGGCCATAAATTCAAATGAGCAATTCAAAAAATTGATGATGGCAAAAAAACAATCATTTTTTTAACAGATTTCAAATTGCATACACATACACTATTATGAAATAAATTGAATTTCCAAATAATGTCTAGGCAAAATTATATTGACACCCATTTTGGAGGAATAATATATTTTAGAATAGTTATTGATGGAAGAATATGTGGTTAAAAAGTAAAGAAAATTTTTGGGTTTATGTGTAATATTATTTTATTGATAGAATGTGTGGTTGAAATAAAGAAAAAGAAAAAAAATGAGAAATAGAATGGATGTCAAACATGGGCTGAATCAAGAATGTAGATTTCCATACACAAATTCATGGTGTCTTCATTACGATTTTCACATTATAAAAAAATAAAATTCTGAAACATATCCACTCACAGTATACATCCATACACGAAAAATCAAATATTTAGCCTCTGCTTGGTAACCATTTTTACCCCACTCGTAGAAAAAATTCACTCGTTATACAGTGTCCGTGTCAGAAGGAGTTGCCCCCTTTTTTCACCAAATTTGGTGAAATTACTTGTTTGTCATTTCAAACAATTTTTTTGTGAGACAAGTGATGGCAAAATTGGAAACTTGTTGCTGCCATATGCAAAAGCTGCTGCACCTGGGTCCCACTGACACAGATAACGGGTGAAAAATTCATTCTCATTTTGGCCAGAAATGATTACCAAACACAGGCTTAGTGAATATATATTTTTTTGGTTAAAAAAGCAAGATTTATGTGCTCTTATTAAATTTTAGATATAAAATATATACAAATTGCACAAACGAGCAATAAAGCCCTAATCAATGGAAAATGAGAATCAAATGGTGGATATGTGTGATAACGAATTGGTGATTAGGTTTTGAGAATTTCTTGGTAACTGATTCGAGGGAGTGATGATCTGGTGGAGATTTTTGAATTGGTGATTAGGTTTTGAGAATTTCTTGGTAACTAATTCAAGGGAGTGATGATCTGGTGGAGATTTTGGTTTGGAATACGAAAAGGACACGATTTTAGGGATTTTTTTACAATGAATTTGACATCTTTGATCCTTGACCCATTGCCTTTTGCAGGTTGATGCCCTGTCCAATTTTCAAATAATTGTACTAGGATATGCCTTTAGATTAGGTTATTTCAAATAGTTGTGACTATGTTAATGGATATGCCTTTAGGTTAGTTTATTGTGACCCAAAATTGTAAATATAATTGAGCAATGACAGGAGAAAAATCTCACCCGTATCCGTTTTTCCAAAGATGTTGATTGTTATGACTTTAGGTTAGTATATTGTGGCTGGAAAGCTTGCGCGTGTGACAAACATGATATTATGATAAATAGTTGAAATTGTGACCTGTGTTTTGAAAATATGGCTTACGAAATTTTTAGCCTTATATCTTCTTGGATGAGATATTGTTGATTTGTGGATGGGATTTTTTGATTTGGGGATTTGATTTGGGCAATTTTGAATGGCTTGAAGTTAGGGTTCATTTGAGATAATAACGGTATCTGGGATCTATAAGATAGTAATTAAAATATTAAAAAAAAAAAATTGGATCCTATAAGATAGCAATTAAAATATAACAATTAGAAAATTTGGATTTTTAAAATTATTTTGTTTTGATAATACCTGATTTTTCATTATAGAAAAAGAAATGCAAGCTATGCATAATTTTCTCACCCAAAATTTCCCTTGACTAAATTGCCTACGGTAGACTTTCGCCCGGTCCACTTTCTTGATCCATCAGAGTAACACCAAATACTCCAGACTTGGACTTTGTCCTTGGCATGGATTAGAAATGGAGCAATTGTAGCGTTACACTGTTAATATATACTTCTGGCCTAGTCTTGTATCAAGCAAAAGCCATGCCTTTCAAGATTGCTTTATTAGTGCTGTATTTTCTAGTTGGCCAAGCAACAATGGAAGATGTTAAGTTCAAATTCAATGGATTCCAGTCGGCAGACCTGAGTCTCAACGGCATAGCCGGGATCACCTCTAGTGGCCTCTTAAAGCTAACAAATGCCACAAAACAAGGAGTCGGTCAAGCCTTCTATCCTAGTCCCATCAACTTCAAGAACTCAAATGGCTCGGCCTTTTCTTTTTCCACTTCCTTCGTCTTTGCCATAGAGCCTCAATATCCGGATTTAAGTGGACATGGGATAGCTTTCGTGCTTGCACCGACAAGAGGCCTTCCAGGAGCTCGTGCATCCCGGTACCTTGGCCTCTTCAATGAAAGAAATGATGGCAATTCCAGTAATCATGTTTTTGCGGTGGAGCTGGATACAATCCAGGATAATGAGTTTCTTGATATCAATCCCAATCATGTTGGTATTGATATAAATAGTATGAAATCTGTTAAATCAGAACCAGCAGGATATTATGCTAATGGCAATGGCGTGCTTCGCAACTTGACTCTTTATAGTGGCAAGCCAATGCAAGTTTGGGTTGAATATGATGGTCTAGCCAAGAAAATTAGTGTCACACTAGCTCCACTTTATGCAAATAAACCAAATACTTCTCTTCTCTCCCTGTTATACGATCTTTCGCCTATACTTAAACAAACCATGTACGTTGGATTTTCATCATCTACTGGTTCGGCACAAACATCCCATTATGTTTTGGGCTGGAGCTTCAAGGTGAATGGCATATCTGAAGGGCTCGATCCATCTCGCCTTCCCAAGGTACCTCGAATTGGACCTAAGGAGAAATCTAAATTTTTGACAATTGGCTTGCCTACTATTTCGTTGGTTTTGTTGTTGACAGCCATATCAGGCATGGCTTATTACATGAGAAGGAAGAAAAAGTATGCGGAAGAGCTAGAAGACTGGGAACTTGAATATGGACCTCACCGATTCAAGTACAAAGATTTATACGTAGCCACCAAAGGG